GGTGGTAGATCGCCGACAGTTTGACACTAAAAAGTCGATCACAACGTGTTTGAAGTGGAACATGCCTGCCTTATGCACATTTATGCAAAAAGAAGTGTAGCAGTTTTATCAGAAGTTTACTGAAGTTAGCATATCTAATAGACCACTGTAGGTCGCGGTGCAAGGGCCGAGAAGGCCCACCCCATATACATTCATTCATATCTCGAAATATTATCTGGCATTTTCTGTAGTTCAGACGGTCGATTTTACGTGTAATTGCCGATTTCACTTTAATATACCTCATACCAATCGGCTAATCGTGAAACAGTATACGAGAATTTGTTTATAATCACGTAACCAAATGTTTGTCAAAGGAGGCATATTCCAGAAGAAATTCTGGTCATGTGCTGTACAAGTTAGCAAAGCTGCAGTCAACTACTCTATTTCTATACGGATACAGTTCAAAATTGCTAGTTTCAACTGGCCTCAACCTTCGAGCAGGTATGAAGAACATTTAGAAAAATTTGATTTTGGAACTCTCTTTTATCTTATTAAATTTTTCTGTTTCTAAATAATTTTAGATGTTCCCGCGGTCTTTTTTCTCTCTCGACTTGGCCCCGTTGGAATTCTAGTTGTTTCTAAAATATAAATTCTACTCCGAGGGTAGGCAATTATCAGAAACACTTAACTACGATAGAAACGTCACTGCATTAGTATACAAAACACTCCAATAAAAATATTTCCTGAATTGCTTGCAGAGTTCGGTACACCTGTTACAGACGCACAGATATGAAGATACCATTGAAAAGCGAACATGGCTAGTCCTCTCTTGTTTCCGCTAATGCGTTTCTTTCATTGAGATGAATGGTTATTTAGGAAAACACTTCATTGACAGATAATGCCGATTGTTTTGCTACAGGGTATCAACTGCATGCGGTCGTAAAAGCACGGGCCGATGATCATCAGTGGTAACTAGTAAACAGTTTGAAGAGAACTGGTCGTAGTCTATTCCAAGATACTGTCCTGGCAGTAGCTTGGAAAAACAGCTGAAAACAGCTGAAATTCGAGCTTGTATCTTCCGAATTCAGTCTAGAGCAAACCGCTACACCAATCTGCTTGGTACGGAATTATGGAGAGTTTTGTTGCTTTTCTTCGTCTCTCTTGATGAATGATCTGAAGTTACACACATTTGCTCTTCAGAAAATCCGATTCTGTGTCAAGCATAAATTAAACGACTTTAAGGTCGGCTCCAAACTGACTTCGAAACAATCTCTGAAGCCCCGTAGCTGATTTATTTTCATAAAACCACAGATTGCAGCTAGCTTTCTGCATATGTACTATCAAATGTGCCACTGCGACTGCAGCGCACCTAGTGGCGTGATAATATATCGAATACGCGCGCGTTTTAAATTTTCGATCTTGTTATTTGTCCTAAAACTTCATTTATTTTCTAAATTACAGTTTCCATTCAATTTATTTTTTAATAAATCGTCTTCTGTTAGCTTTTTACATTAGCCTGTAATTTTTATTTTTGAAGTGCTAACAGTTAGCGTTAACTAATATGAGACAGCAAGACAATTTCGTTTACAGATCTCAGACACCAAATAAAGCCGTCGCACAATGGGCAATGCTCTTAACAAAGTATGTCACATGCAGCTATCAAGGGGTTAAACTTAAAACAGAAAGTGATAATTTCGTTTCTTCACTGCAATATCACGAGAAGACGGGAAGAGCGGTTGCATTACGGACTAGCAACATAGAGGAGTGACAGAGAGAAACCACGACGAATATGGCGTCGCAGCACGTGCAGAGGAGCAACAGTAGATCATGTCCTCTGCTTCTTACGGCCATTGACATCAGCTTGTCGGAAGAGCAGCGCTGGATACAGCAATTTTCCCCCAAACAGTTCTCTAGCTGCCGCCGATCCGTGATAATATTGCTGCTATACGGAACGGCGCCCGTGTGTGACTCCACGCCTCCTGCAATTTGAGTTATTTTTTAATTCTTTCGAGTGTTTTATGTATATTTCCTTTATACAAGTTCCATCCACACCTTATTCCTCAGCCTTCTTTTCTTCGCCATTCTCTTTCCAGTTCAACTACCACCGCCGCCACATCAACATCTTCTTCTTCTCCTTCATATTTTTCATTTTGTAACGCCATTCTCTTCGTTTATTTTAGTTCTTTCATGTTCTCGTGCCTTCCCTTTCATTTAACATTTATATTCTCTTGTTAAATACAGAAGAGGTGTAGTTTCCTGTTTTAACGCCAGTTCTGATCCATTCTTTCACAATGCAATTGTATCCGGAGAATTCGCCATAATATAACCTTCAGACGACACGAAATGTAAGAAAAACATGAAATAACATGGGCGGAAAGTAGCAGTGAGTATAATGAAACGGAATTAAAATGTTCGCAGTCTTTGGTCTGTGCAATTCCTGCGCCAATTTTGAACAGTTATTTCATTGCGCAGTGTGAATCGAGAGGTAACCTAAAAATGAAACACATGTCAATAGATTCACAGGGAATTAAAGTTAACAGTTTTCCTTCTTTAGTGAAGAGGAACGTCCTCTGTAGCGGGTTAATCGCGGCTTTCCTCATTACATCATATTATGAATTTTCATTTTTGTCTTCAGTTTTATAAGTAAAATTTATGACTTGCCAGTAATTCATTCATTGTTTCTGTTGTGGCAGATAATCGCTATCATTTCATGAACAGGCAGATTGAGGGCTTTGTATTTTAACATAAATTACGTCTTCTTGTTTCAATTTATCCGCATGAACAATGGATGTATTGACTTGAAAAGATTCTGACGATGGTGTATACTGTACTTCTTTTGGCTTATTTTGGACTTCATCCATCGTCTAGTATGTAAAAGACAAAAGACCACGACGTTTTGGAGACTGGATTTGTCTCCGTCTTCAGGTGGGTAGGGAAGGATAAACCTACTCAGTTGGGCCCGTTAGAAAGAGCTAGTCTCAATCACTGGACCAACTGAGTAGGTTTATCCTACCCTACCCACCTGAAGACGGAGACAGATCCAGTCTCCGAAACGTCGTGGTCTTTTGTCTTTTACATACTAGACGATGGATGAAGTCAAATATAAGCCAAAAGAAGTACAATGGATGTATTTTTCCCCTCTCGCTCCCACTTTGGAGCACAGGACTGATTCTCAGTTCCATGATCATTTTTTACAGACGGTAGGACTCCTTGGACGGGTGATCAGCCCCCCCCCCAAGGCTATACAAATACAGAATAAACGCATACGCACACCAAACATCCATACCTAGTGTGTGATTCTAACTCACGATCCCAGCTTCCGAGCTAGCGAAGACAGTTCATGCCTTTAGCCCGCTCGGCTACCGTAATCGGCAATCGATGCATATAGATCTGATGAAAATTATTTTGGTATGTTCATACTCTTGATGAAATGCTTGCTGCAGCATCACGACAACAGCAATGTCACGGTACGAAAGTTGTATGATCCAACATAGAGAGTAGGCTACAGATACATGCTCAGAATTTTGAAATATGTTGTTAAGTTTTGATCTGTAATTCAAACAATGAAGATTGAACTCTATCTCTATTCTATAATTGCTGAGAATTGTCTCCAAATTGTCTTGGCAGGTAAAGGTAAAATTGTCCCTGTACTTAATTAGTTAAACGCTGTGACATGAAGACATATGAAGGCGTGGAAGTATAGCTCCACCATTCTTGACCTCAGCATGAGATGTATGCGAGTTGCCATCTTCACACCTTTCCCGATTTACTTCCGGGTGAAGAGTACCTAGTATCCACTGGATTGAAGGCTGGGTGGCTCCAAGATTCTGGCTCGACAAGTCCTCGACAGTATTCTTGTATCCTATAAATGCATTTGTGCTCTGGAATCCTTTTGTATTATAACTGCACATCAATGGAAGTTCTACTCTGGTTCCAAGAATTACTGCCTCAGTATATGGCGTTGTAAGGAATTCCAGTCACACTGTCTTGATTTAACTTCATTCGTTGCAAAGGCAGACCTGTTATATTAATATCAAGGAAATACAATGCAATGTCAATGTATTGCCGTTCTGAAGAAATTACACAAATCAGAATAATACACAATAAGGGCAATGTAAGTCAGTTTCTCACGCACGTCCAGGAAGACATGCTTGATTGAAAATATCAACCATAAATTCTAGCATACAACAGAGATTTTTATAAACTGAAAAAAAAAAACTCGTTTGTGATTTGTATATGTTTGGGTTTAGACGTGTAACTGCTCTCTTTCCATGTGTGTAGTTTTGAATTTTGAACAGAATTTGGATGCTGAAACTATCTGCAGAACTATTATTTATTTCATCTGCTAGAACAAAATTCTTCTGCATTTCTCCTGTATCTAAAACTCAAATTGTGTTTTATCTTGTCTTCAGTTTCTTGTCTTTCCACCTTGCTTTTCGCATTCATGCGCAGCCAAGCACATCCCCGGTTTCACTCTTCGTCTTGTCCCCCTTCCTCGTCCTCTCGGGGATCAACAGCCCCATTCTCGACCGCGAGCACTTCAGTTGCTTCTTAGCACCTCAACTCATCGGACGAGCTTACCAGAAGACTTGGAAGTTCCGACTACTGGGAATGGCACTGGAAGAATTCACGGGGTAACGACCAAGCCCGTGGTTCCTCGGTGCCATCCGCAGTGGCACGGTACAGCGACAGTGACTTGAAGCCTGCAGTGACTGCGTTCTAATGAATAGGTTCTCAAGAGTTCTCAAGATGAAATAGGACAACTGTACTTTTAAAATCAAACTGACATTCAGAAGCGTTTTGTAGATGCTATACATCTATCTCTCCTCTCATGTTTAACTTGTGTTTAAATATATACTGCTGTCACGGTTCGCGCTGTGGTTCTGGTGATGTTTATATGTAAATAACACACGTATTTGCAACTGATAATGGATATTGGGAGAATATATGTTGATATGAAGCTAACAGTCACTATATTTGAGTGCTTTGCCTGTTTTTGTAAAATGTTTCTGTGCCAGCAGATCGGTCTGCATCAGGAAGAACTTCACGCTCTGATCGTGTCATCCTACGCTTCGTTCAGTTTCATGCTTGGAAAGAAGTCTACTGTTTCTCAGATTTCATTCTTCTACTAGTTCCATCTATTCTGGTGTCCGAAACAATAATTGTAACTGTCGACCAGGTGGATGTAAATGTTGATCGCAATTTAAATGACGGCATGTGTACTTGTGCGGAAATTTTATAATTTGATATTTCTCGCCGAAACACTGGATGAACCCTGTATCAACACCTACTCTACTACGTGGAAGATCGATGTGTATATTTCACTTGTACATTTATATATATAATTGTACGAATTACTCGAGCCCGATTAGTATATATATTTCAAATATAATTTACGAGGTAAGCAACTCAAGAATTTTGACAAGTCCCAGGACGAAGTGGAAAACAGGCCTGCTTCTAGTGACAATGCTCATATCTGCGAACATTGAAACATTAAAATTTCGTGATGTATGAATGTGTTTGCATGAACCGTTCTCATAATTTGACCCTTCATTGGCTACTGCATACATTTCTTTGTGCAGTTTGTGTTACTCTAATAGTTGAAGTTATCAAAATGTTCGTCCTCAATTCATCCTTTCAGAACTAACATTTATCACAAGAGTGTGCTGTAGTTGTCGGAAACAACCGCATTTTATCTGTAACGTCTAATTCACTTAATATTAACTGAATATATTTCGAGATGTCTGCTCTTTTTTTGATGGTCAGTGAAGTTATGTTATGTAGTATCGAAGGGCCCGTGTATTCAGGGATGGTATTCACAGATGTACGTATTATCTTCAAGTTATCACGATTTGGGAACAATGTGAGCAGACTAGCCAGTCTCTGCATTATTTTAATATGTTATTCATTAGTACGTTTCACTATTTTACGTAATGAACTAATCTATTTGTTCTGGAGCAAAATACTTATTTTGGTTATTGAATGACACATTATTCTAAGGAAGGAATTGTTAAATTTTTTTCTTTTAAAATGCCTTTTTTTGCTCTTGCTCTCACTTTGGAGCACAGGGCTGATTTCTCAGTTTCATTAATCATTTTTATAGACGGCAGCACTCCTTGGAGGGGTGATCAGCCCGTCGCAAGGCTACCTAAACACCGGACAACACAAGTACAGAATAAACGCATACACACACCAAACATCCATGACTTGTGTAGGATTCGAACCCACGATCCCGGCTTCCTAGCGAGTGAAGACAGTAAATGCCTTAGACCGCCCGGCTACCGTGGCCGTAAAATGCCTTGGCAGCGTCATATAGTCCAATTCTCAATCATTTTACTGTAATTCTGTATTTACTGGAAGTATATTTCTTGTTCTAAATTTGTAATTTCATTTGGCAAGCACTATATCTCATTCTAGGAGGTAGTTGGGATAAAATTAATAATTTAGCAACGTTTTAAATCCGACAGTAATACAGCCAAAAGAGTTAGTTTATCATTAAGAAATGAACTCTCTGCAAGTATTATCGCATAACGTACGCTATCAAATCTAGACGTTTTAAGTCCCCGCCGCATAGGCTACATTTGTACCCTGAAAATGATTTAAAGAACATGGGTAACTTACGACACACTTTATTTAATAATTCCATTACATCTCTAATATTCCTTTCACAATGCTTGTAAATGATAAGCATGCAGAAGTGAAAACATTGTGCCAGACTGTAACACTTGAATTGATTTACGAAAAATGTTGAAGTTGCTGTACTGGCTTGAAGCTTGAAGCTTAAAAATGCATGCAGTATTGCATGAAATGTATTGTACTTTAAAAGATATTCGCGGTAACTTTCACAATGGCATTTCTAAATATTAAGTAAAATATAATGAACTATTTTGTGCGGAGAAAAGTGATACAATTCCATCGCCTTCTATTTCTGAAGAAAACATAGAGCGCAACATGTGGACATACATTAACGAAGTCAGCCTTGAGTGAACACTTGCTGTATAACAACCCTCGTCAGTCTGACCGCGAAGAAACTTAGGAAGTGTCATTGTTCTGTTATTATAATAATTATATTTCTTAGCCGATGTAATCGTACACGGGCAAGGTTGGCCCTGTGAAAAGAGTATAAATAACATCGCATTTGCAGACTGTTGTACGGAAATAAACAGACCTCATGAAGAACGGACTAGGTATCGGGTATAGGCTTAAGACTGTTCTTGCAACTGAAGAAACACTATGAAAATAAAATCACGCGTCTGCAAATTCAGACATCACACATTAATTTATTAAGAGTCCTAGCAATGAAAGGTCACCGCCATTAGGATAATTGTCAGGGAAGCCACGATACCCATGTCTCTCAGTCCAGTAACTTTAAATAGAGCATGTACTGAAGTTTTTAGTCCAGTTTAAGTCAATATGTTTTCTTCTTTCCTGGCATTCTTGTCGTGGAACCTACTTGCATGAACATTTCTGATACGACCCCAAGTAAAATGAGATAAAAAGTCGGAAATAACAAGGAAATAATACAAGATAAACGTAAACGAAGTTAGAAATTACAAATATATTTCTCTCTTTCGTCGTAAGTTTACCAAAACTTGGGAGTATTTGAAAAGAGCTGAATTCTCATGTGAATTTCAGCATCCAGTATACTAGAATATTCTGCGCATATTGCATCCGAAAGCAGAAGTGAACTCGCATATTTTGTCGCATGGATATGAAATTAGAAGAATGTTTACCAAGCTGCATAAAACTTTTCATTGGTAAGCCATTTCGGACTTACAGCCCGGAATATGAAATCAGAACCCAAAATGTGTCTTCTTAATAATAAATACTGAACAATAACTTGTAACTAAAACCCTGAACAATATCAATGAAAAATATTGCTGTCAATAAAAACTCGAAATTAAGATTTCTACCCTCTAGGATATAACACCTTGTAGTCCGATGAAAGTCAACCGACGTTTCGGAAGAACATATTATATCCATCCTCGGGGTCCAAAGTAAACAACGCAAGAAACCAGCATAAAGCAAGCAGCGAGCACATCACCTACAAATATGTAGGCAGTAAGTTCCTCCAAAATGTCTGCTGAGTTTTACTTCACTATAGGGCGATATTTGCCAGAGTTAGAACCCTCCGTACTCAGGACTGTGAAAACCTGAAATCCAACAGAACTTGAAATATTGCATTTGAACACCATCAATTGTTGCTCCTTAGCAGCGGTGAGTGCCATATGCCCGCCCTTTCTCTGGTGTGGTGCATGCCGGAATGCAGAGTCAGACACGTGGTACATGACAAAATGTGGGCGTTTTATAGACCGACTAGCGACCACTCATTCATCACTTCGCTCTTGAAACCAAATGTTACGCGTCGCATTCACTTAACGAAGATGTCCGCGGACTGTGAGGTTAGTTCGCGAGCACCCACCGGTATATACATATATATATTTTAATATATGTACGTATATTACTGAATACATCGTCTGCGTATACTGTGTTAAGTAATGATTTTTTTTTTCTCGTGACTGAATAAATTATTTCAAACCCTTAAATACATCTTTAGACTTTATCTTGACTCATTAAGCTGAAGATCTTTGTAGATCCCACAGTGCAATTGTGTCGTGGACAGTAAATTTGCACGACTCAAATCCTCTTCCTCCTTTTACTTTGTGAGTTATTTTTTATCCTGAATTATTTTAATGCAAGCGGATTCACATAACATTTGAGACTTCTCATAAATACGAAACTAGCTGACGTTTCGGCCAGAATTAGAAACCATGTACAATGGATGGAATTATATTTTGGGTTCCCTCTGAACACTCTCCACTGGGTATGAAACTTGGACTTTATTCTGAGGAAAAAACACAGATTGATAGTATCTGAGATCAAAATTCAGAGTAAGATATTTAAATCAAAGAAAGAGTAAGTAATAAAGGGTTTGAATAAATTGCATAAATTAGAGCTTCATAATTCATATTTTATTCTTATTCTTATGGCGGTGACCATAAATATGGTAGGCGTTTCGGTGTTTTATTTTCGTAACCAAGATATGGTATTAAAAGAAACAAACACAGAAACGACGACACAGTCCTAGAATGTTCATTATGACAGTTTCAGATGTGGTGGTATGATTTCAGTAGTCATCGGGATTCTGTGTAGTGTTTCAGCACTGTGTATTTGTCCAACGGCTCCATAAACTGAGCTCTTCATGCATTCCAGAGGGATACTGAAACGCGGGATTTAAGAGGTAGGGCTACGACTACTTATGCAGAAGTCTGAGAACTTCTCATTTAGACCAGTTCGAAAAAGGTTTCGAGGAGAGTATGATATGCCATCTTGTCGGAAAACTTCAACTTCTTCTTTCATTTGGGAACAAATTAATTTCGGGCATATCCTGTTAAATGCACACCACTGTTTTGGTCTCAGAGAAGATAAATGTGGTCCGACATGTAATATTGTCAGACTGGAATAAATATATGTGTGTGGACCTGTATTAACTCAATTTATGGGTCTGTTGTCATTTTTAATTTTATTTCATTCAGTTATATAACGTGGTTTTTAAAGTATAATGCTTTGTTACACTTGACATATCTTATGGGCAACTGTATAATGTCTTATTTCACGATACTGGAGCTATACCTATAGTACAGAAATATTGGATCCTATTAAGTGTATAATTCATCAGCAACTGTAAATGCTTCAAGTAATAAAAGTGTAGTGTTACTTTAAATTTAGCGAACAAGGGTCTTGATATAAGTGCGTAGTATAGAATGTACTAAACAAGCTACTTGCCATTTTATACTCGTATTAATTAGTAAAACTGCATTAAATTTCAAACCCATTCTTACTGCGTTTCATAGCATAAAAGTCACCAGCCTCTGTCCTGTTCCTTCTGTCAGCCACAGAAATCCACAGTGGCGCTTGAGAATTATAATGCTTCGCTCCAATTCACATCTAAATCTTCCTCGTCTGTAATATCGACAGATATAAATAAATTCAAGTTCCTTCCTCAAAGATTTATGCAAGGGTCGTAATTTCTTATTGTTTTAAACTAAGGAGTAATTAGTCGGAGATCATGTGCGGGTTTACTCAAGACACTGAATGTAGCCCTCAGCCAGAAAAATACGTGTATTTGTTTATGCCGCAGCTGTACCTAATCCACCCAGTCGGACTTATCACAGTGTTTCTCATTTGCTGA